GTTCATATTCTTTTTCTATTGGCCTGTGTTTAACCAATAGTTTAGTTTCAAGCCTTTTTCTGTAGAGGTATGCTGTACTATCATCGAAAAGACTGCTTAATTTGTATTTAGTAGGTTTCATGACATCCCTCCTCATTTTCTTTCTGTGCTATTAAATGTAAATGATATGAATATTTTAGTAGTTATTACTTCCATTACGTATTCAGAAAGTAATTTGGGACAGTATATTTTGTTGACAAAATGTCAATTATGGGAATAATTTATTAAAGTATGTGTGACTTGATACCTGAAATTCAGTAATGACACATCTCACGTCTATTATTTTCTTTCCAATCAATCAATAGATATTATCTCGTTTCTTGTATTTACATTTTTTATTACCTTTTTAACAGCAAATAAATGCATATGTTTGCTCGCAATGATACGACAAAGTGTGCATGAATATTATGTTGTGATAATGCTTCCTAATTTTGAAGCTTGCTAAGTTACATTTCATACTACCTTTCCAATTTACATTTCACACCAACTAATAAATCTTTCTTACCAACTTATTTTTGTGTCATAACTATTAGTGAATTGGTAGAAATGGCTACTAGGGAGTTTGCAATGGTTTAAATTGCTTTACTAAAGTAGCAGATTTTACTCTACAATAATTTACGTGCTTTTCTGCTATAAATTATATTATTTGATGCTGTAATTGCTTTGATGGTTTGTTTTATGGATTTAGGGTCAACAGGATTTCATTTCTATTTTACTTCTGGGTGTACTCATGTAAAATGAAAAGTGTAAATGTAAAATAAATCGCAATCATATGATCATCAACCCAAGGTACAAAGCTACTGCATGGCATTGTTGTTGCCTCTGGGGGAAACATCGCAAAACAACATAATATAGGGTTTGCGGTTTCAGCTGAGGATGGATCACAACACAACTAATGACCATTCTAGTCGATGCACCTGGAAACACTAAATAATTAATTCATCTACAAATGTGAAAACTAATTGTAATAAAAAGTGCATGGTGTTTTTTTTTTGTGGGTGGGGGTGAAAAATTGTAGTGACATTTTAGTTCAGACTTATCTTTTTTGAAATTAGGAAACGCACATACACAAACATGGGCAAGGAACCTTTATAGTGCCTAGAGGAGGGGGCATTTTAAATTACAAGGAAAGAGAAGGCTTGCGTTAAACTATTTCCAACTTTCCTTTCTTTGGGGTGAATATATATGTATCATTATTTTGGTTTTTTTTTTTATTATTATTTTTTTGAAAATCTATGCCTACCCTGATGCTTTGTCCATGAACTTTCCAACAATGTTGATTTCATGAACTTACAATTATTGTTGGAAACATGATGTTGTAGGTCCTTACATATATGAAGTTTTAAAAAAATGTTCTAATTATAAATGTGTTTTATTTGTAGGGGCAACTGTATTTTATCCATCAGATGCTGTCAGTTGTGAGAGATCAATTGAAATGGCCGCTAATACCAAAGGAATTTGTTTTATTCGAACATCACGACCTGCTACACCTGTTCTATACAAGAATAATGAGACTTTCCAGGTAAACTATAACATGAAGAATTTTAACTAGTGGTGGTAAAAATAATCTTTTACATAATTTAGGTGTATTTAATCACTTCTTTTTCATCGAAGTCGGCAAAGCTACCTTTGTTTAACCGATCCATTCTTAAATCTCTGCGATAATTGCTACATGTACTGTGAACCATTTCCAAACATTTCGGGAGATGCATTTACGTTGCCTTGGAGTAATAAAACGTGTCAAAATTTTCAGAAAGAAAAAACAGTGGTAATTTTATCTTAAAATGGCCTCTCGTTTTAATTACCCATGCTGGGTACCCTATCGTCATGTCTACTGGCGTACAATGGCGTGTGTGAGTGCACGTGTGTGTGTGTGTGGGGGGGGGGGGTTGCGAGCGCGCGCATTTTCCTAGACGGTCACCCAACCAGGAGCCCGAGTGGTCTCGAATGCGCGAGATGCAAAAGTTAATTTATTTTTACTAATTATGAGTTTATTTTCGCTTGCCCTTACATTTCACGAATAATCAGATGACACGTATCACGCGAGGAGCAGTATCTATCTAATGGCGGACCGCGCAACACGTGAAATCGGGAATATCGCATAAAGGGTGAATGAAGGGGCAATGCAGCAGTATCAAGACATTGTTAAGAGTTGTGTGTACAATTTTGACTATTTGAAGTTCAGTGCAAAAATAAATGTCATGGCTGAACACTCGCCTCCATCACCGACATGGCCTAGTATTATTAATCTTCCATAGGGAAAACCGATTAAAAGTAGTGAGAAAACTATTATTTTAAATGTGTTCTATTCCGTTCCCGCACGCAAGACGCACCCGGAAGTGGCAGTACTTGACATTGTGAAATTTACGGCAAAAATAACTGAGTTTGTCGTCACAAGTATTTACAGCATAAGAAAGAAACAACACCTGGGCCTGTGTTAGATGCTAAGTGCGATAATTTGTTTGGTCAGTGATTCGTCGAAGAGTGCACGATTGTTTGTTAAGGAATGAGCCTCCAACGACCTACCTTGACAGCTTGGAGGGAAAAGAGAGAGACACTGGTCTGCCCAATTTAAAGAGATCTTCACTCCATTCTGTCCTACTGGAAATACGATGTGAATTTCATAGAATGAAGAAAAGTGTGATAGACACTGTAGATTTCGATAGGCCGAAGGATATTGTGCGACGTGTGTATGAACTTTTGGATTGCCACAGCGAGCGCGGCGGTGACAGCAGAGCAGTGTTAGATTTCAGCAGAGGCTCGGAGCACCCGCTTCGGCAGAGAGATATGTTACGTAATGGCCAAATCTACTTCATTCTCTCGTTGGACGGAGAAAAAGGATCTTCGCTCGGTAGTGAAGCAACACCAAATTCACGCGATGGCCCTGCTCTGCTCTGCTCTGATCGTCCACGTACTTTCCACCGTCACTCGTACCTGATGCATCACTATCACGCATTACTGTCATTTCTGGTAAAAATAACGATTTCTTGATGTGAAAAAATTATTGTGGGCAAATCACACTTCATCAAAACTGTCGAGATTCCACGTTTTTCCTCTTCCTCTATTTATTAGAAGTTGAACAAGAATGATTCTCCTGATTTAATTGAATTATTTTCCTTATGAAGTCTGCGAATAAATATTTTCGAAACACCCTTAGCAGCGACCAGTCCCTTAAAAACTGCTTTGACATATTTAATACCTTCTTTTGCTTCTCTTCTTCCTAAATTAATATACTTTTGCAATGACTTCACGCGTCTGACTGTGAACGACTTCCTTATGCAATTTGCTCTGTATCGTACGCTTTGCAATAATCACAAACAACTTGACTCAAATCGCGTACTAGTGCTTCACTCTAGTATGGAAACTAACGGGAAGCTGCACATCGCAGAGACGAGTCAGGACCAATGTTCACCCAACTGGAGTAGGGCTGTCAACACGTGCTGCGAAGGGACGCGCTCCCCCTAAACCGACTAGTTAGAAGAATGGACTCATCCAGCAGCTCTGAGCCCTCGACCTTCAGCTTTGGACGTAAAAGAACAGTTCTTAGGTAGGAGGGGACCCCCTAAACGAATTTCCGCATTTCCGAATTTCATCGATTTTCCCGCAACATTACATAACTTTCTCTATTTTGCGTTTCTTACTCAGTATGTACGCGCGTATACGAGAAAGGAAAACACTTTTTCGTATCAGGGGGTTCTGAAACTTATTTCCGTGGAAATCCCGAAATCGATTTTCCGCAGCATTGCACAACATTCTCCATACTACGTATGTTACTCCATATATACGTTGTACGTAAACGAGAAAGTAAAACTAATGTTGAAATTGAGAAAATATCGAAAGCAAAAACTGACGGATCCCAATCGGGCCATAAGAGAACAGCCTGCTTGCCTGCCTCTCCTCTCCCACGTGCCCACGCTCTAGCGTCGACGGCCGGGGCGGCGCGGCATGGGGAGGGAAGGCAGGCATTCTATTTTGCCAAATTTCTCTATACGGCGTACTATTTATCCGGTTTAGAAGTTTAGGGGCCATCGCGCCGGGAGATGTGGCTCGGGACATCAACTGATGCCACTGCAGTGTCTCTGATCGGGAGGTTTTAGGTTTGTCCCGACGGCGGCAAAATTTTCGACACTAGCTAGATAACTAGGTCGAATTCAGTCGCTGTCTGGAGGAGAATTCTAGCTGACGGCTGCTCTGATCGATAGTTTTCCGTGGTTTCTCAGATCAAACGCACATGAATTCGGGAGTAATACTCCAACAAAACGAGCCACGGACCGGGCGCGGTGTATCTTTCCTCTTCCTTGGGTTGATGTCCCCCCCCCCCCCCTTACACACAACTTGCTGTACATTACCCCACATGCCGGGAGGCATATTAGCATTCTTTACCTTCATTCGGAAATGACGGTCCTTGATTGGTTGCCGTATGATAATGATCGACGCCGCAGAGACCAATAAAGTTCACATGTGCAAGTTAAAAGCAGCTTACCTTGGTTATGTTTTGATATATATCATTTTCGAAAAGCAAACAAATCTAATGAAAAGTCTGCCAATACTGTGTTCTTTCCATTATAGACCTCCATAAATACTCTTTGTTTTGCTAGAATGTCATTTTCCACAAAATCAAGGGAAAATGGTCTATTCGTTTAATTTTTACTTTTTTTCCTAGTTGGTCTGTCATTTGTACAACCCACTTCCAGACTATTGGATATGGGATTTGACCTATTAAAAACATTATTTGTATTTACCTGTATTTGCATGTTACAAATGTTTACATTGCAGTGAAATTGTTTTCATTGTAATTTTCTTCCTATATTTCTTTATTTTGCTTAATTTATTGTCTTTATTTTACTGCTGGACATGTGACATTTTTACTGATATCATATTTTATACTTTGTATATGATTAGAAATTTTGTTTCTTTTTTTATTTTACTATTACCAATAATATTTTATCATTTTACTTAAAGTAATGTTTTTGCTTTAATATTGTTACATTTTATTGTAGTTAAAAATTGATAATCAGGTTGAACATTTTTTTACTTGTTAATATTTAAACAAGCACTTTCACTTATCTAGGCCGTGATTGTTAAAAGGGTATTCTTGAACAATGCCTTTTGTATAAATCAGGTACTCGCAACCTTTTTCTTGCAATGACCCATTTTTAAACAATAATTGGCTTTGTCAGCCACTTCGACTTTTTCTGTCAAATACAGCATTTAAATAATCATGATGTAAATAATTGCACATAAATGACTTCATAACAATTGGACAAAAACATGAAATTTTTCTTTTTGGGGACAATCATTTTGCACTACTGATCATCATAATTTAACTTATGAATATTGTAACTAATGTTTTATATTTTTATCAGCAAAAACAGTTCAACAAAATCAAAACGAATGTAGCCACCGATACTGAATGTTAATACTTTTGAATCTTTAAAAAAATTATAATGTAATAATAATTCTTATATGTATTTTCTAATATATTTCAAGTCTCTCTCCTCGCAGGTTCAATTTAAAATTTTGTTTTTATACAAAGGACACTGGATTTCAAGTATTTAACTCTCAATATTGCAATTGAAATGGATGTTCACTCCTGTGTACATACAGTGGTTATAAGTAAATTCATGATTATTAAGAGCAGGTTTCCTGGTGTCTAGCACTGAAAGTATTTATGTAGTAGTTAACTATGTTTTATGAATCCAGTTATATTGGAGCAATATTTATTAGTTTAATTACAGTAATATATTTTGGTTTAGAAACACTGAAAATAAATAATGATGTTCATATTTTCATGTTGAATGACGATAAACAATATAATATAAAAAGTACCATTATTATCAGAGGAAAGAAATACAAAAAAAAATTGAATTTGTGTGTAGTTGGTGAGCAAATTATTTAACCAGTATTTCTCGATTTATTTATTTATTTATTTATTTTGGCCAATAATAAGAAATGTGTGTGTGTGTGTGTGTGTGTGTGTGCGTTTCAAACTTAGATTAATATTTTTACTTTTAATTCGAAATTTGTATGCTTATAATATTACTACTTAACACACTAGAGAAGTCTGTAATTCCTGTAGGCATTTGGCAACGGTATAGAGACTTAAATAGCAATTAGCAAATATTTCAATCTTTCAACAACGCCTAACTGCCTTTTATCATGACTCGTAACAGATTCCATTTCTTTTATTACAGCCAGAAGTCGAATTAAGTAAAACTGCAGTGATAACAAAAAACATGAATATTTCTTCAATACAATAATCACATATTTAAGAAATACGGATTTTATAAAAGACTATTTAGAATAAGGGATGCCCAATTGTGTGACATCGAATGTTTTAGAGCAGTAATGCTCATTAATCTAGATAATCTTGATTGATAATAAAATACACATATGTAAAAAAATTTAAATAAATTTTATAAAAACTAGTCAACACTTAAGAACAGGAATCAAGTAGCAACCGAACAAATGTTCCAACCGCATTATTTCTCCCAGTACAAATTAAATAACTACACAAAAAGTGCAAAACCGTGATTAAACAAATTAGATACAATATTAACTCCCATACCAATAATTTTGCCACCATGAAGGAACAATTAGTCCAATGTATTGTTAATTGAAGTATGTTTTCTATAATTAGGTTAATAAACACATTGGTGATGTTTTGCAACATAACCTGATACAATTCAAACACCACATTTTCTTCAAAATAAACTAGTAACTCAATATAATGTTTAACCCTCTACATCATACATCAAGATCATCAACACAGCCAGAACACAGCTTCGTCAAGGTTTACCAACAAACCGTTCTGCAGGTTTTAATTTTATTTTTGTGGCAGAATACATATTTTTTGTAGAAAATCTGCATTTGTGTTAACTTCTCTTGAAATTTTGACAATCTGTTTTACATCAGTTGGTAAAAGTTTTGTCAAAAGAATTTGGGCAATTGACTTGATGCCTTTTGTAAACGGTTTGAAAATAATTCAACGTTCAATCGTAATAAATTAAAATGGCAAACATCTCGGTAATGTAACATGGATTTGTAAATATAACAAAAAAAATCACCAAATATCACGTCTGTACTGTAAGAGACGGGTGAATCAATTATTTCTACAAAGAATTATCCTTAAATTGAGCAAGTACAAGTATAACTATTCTGCCAGTAATTTTCTTTGTGCCTCTTCAGTCTGATTATCAATTTCAAACTATAAAGAACTGCCAAAACATCTCAAATGTTCAGTGAATGTTAGATAAATGATATCGACTGTTGTGTGTGGGTATGAGCATTAAAATGTGAGAATTGTGTTACATAAATGCTGTAATTTTGGCGATGTGTATTTTTCAGATTGGGGAAGCAAAGATCGTTCAGAAGACAAACAATGATGATGCATTGGTAATTGGTGCTGGAGTTACATTACATGAAGCACTGTCAGCGGCTGATGAACTTGCATCAGAAGGCATACATATACGTGTGTTGGATCCTTTCACCATCAAACCTCTGGATACAAGTGCCATAATTAAAAATGCCAAGGAATGTAAGGGGAAAATACTAACTGTAGAAGATCACTACCCTCAAGGTAATTGTTTCATCAGCATGTTATAACACTCGTGTAAACTTCTAAATGCCCCGCAGAGTTGGGAACACGGTCGTTTTCTTAAATTAGTGCAAGACCACTCCATTGTGTTCAAACCCGACATTCATAATCTTGTAGATTAAACCGGAAAAAAAATACCAACCTTGTGGCTCTTTGAATTGTATGTATACACAGTTGTGTATGTAGATATGCCATTTCCTCGGTTGGGACAACTGACATTTTCTCTGCTCCTCAAAGATTTTATTGGAATATTCAATATGTGGTATGACCAACAATACATTTTGTTTTTAATCTCACACCCGCAAATCCAATGATCACTTTCATATATCTTACTACTAAAATGGCTCGCACAATTCTTCAGTTTTGTGGTGATATTTAATTGTCATCCACATAACGTTTTTCGGAATAGAAGAAAGAACTAAATGGAATTAGATTCCTGTGTATAGCCCAATAAAATGTTCCCTGTCACAAGTAACTCATCCACTACCACAAATGAACAGTATGAGCTCGCCATGTCGCGTCCTTTCACATACACACAAAAGTTTTCTTTCACGTTACAATTTCGAATTCACGATTCGCTTTAACGGATCACTAGTTTGACAAAGTAGTCTATTTAACGCACATGACGAAAACGCATGATCTACACGACGAACGAAATAACATCGCAAGGCTCTGTTTCGACTTCACGGACTGTCCGCATTGTACTATTTCCCTACATGAAAAGAGTGCCATTGTTGAGCTAGATCTCTAACCGACACCGAGTTACCCAGCTATACTTATTCAGGTTGAAATATGCTCAGGCATAGTTGGCAGACTTGCACGAGTTGTGGAGAAAGATGGTCGTACCGTCAACTCCCCCCACTCCCCGCTTCGGGGTCCACAATCGAGGCACGTGACGTCTGGTACTCCCAGGCTCGTTGCCGAATTGACTGCATCAGAGGAGGGGGGTATAGAAGGTTCTTTTGAGATACGCGAACCAATGAGAACACAGAAGCCTGTGATGTGAGAGGCAATGTCACATCTCCGGCAGTCGAAACCACAGCTTGCACACACAGCATGGTCGGGAGTTGAATGACGTAGCAAACGAAGCGAAGTCGTTCAAGGGATGTTTCTCGGCCCGTCACATCCAGCGAGGAGACTAATTCCTATTGGACAGCGCACGTAAATGGAGAGAGGGAATAGAGAAACAAAGAAAGACTCACAGAAAAAAATAAAACAATTTATTTTAAAGTTATGGAAAACTAGGGGATGTAACAAATCACTCGCATACATTGAGCCTACGCTACTGAATCACTAACACTTGGAAAACAATCAGAATCTCTTTGAAAATAGCTTTCTCTTAAAAGAATTAAACCATGAAAACTCCTTCCGTGCACGGTTAGTACTGGGCTGAACAAAATGCAGACATTTGCTTTCAATGCAAAGGAAATAGCAGTACACCAAGTTTTTTTTCAAATTCTCATACAACTTACACACTCAAATTCAACTAAATAATTCGATTACACTAATTTAACGTATGGCATAAATGAACATTTCAGTAAAGCAACAACACCGGGAACCGCTCAAATGCACGCCTCGTCTTCTCGTTCCTCTGCGCGTTGAACGCCGACCTGTCTACACTCCTCGCACGTACTGAATAACTACGGGCGTTTTTGATTCTTGGCGTCGCTCTCGACACACATTTGATTCACAACTGCTGATTACGGTTTTAAAAGTTTTCACTGCCCCTCTGGCGTTGGTCATGACTAGCTAGTGCTGACCACAGTGGCACCGCCTTCTAATGACACCGCAGCTGCGTGGGCGGCATGGGCGTTTGGTGAATGGACGAAACGTCACAATATGATATATATTGTGACGGTCCTTCGTCACTATAACCATAAATGTATATTTGATGAACCTGAAAGGCGCAGGGATCTTGGTAAGGAGAAACGTTAGTTAGTGATCGCATGTGTAGAAAACAGTTGCGAAATTCTGGCAAGATAGGGATTTATTCAATCCTCAAAAGAATATAAAGTATCCAAATGTAAAAGAAATTAAACATTTTATGATAGTTCGGAGACTATTTCATGTTCTTATAAAGTATTTCATTATTAACTCACTTACGTTTTATGCACTTAAAAAATGGTTAAAGTGAGCATTTCGTGGCTTGTGACTCGCTGACGCAATGTCTCATTTGATAAATATATTATTTTCGGTATTTCAATCTTTTTTTTATTCAATTTTTTGTCCATAAGCACATGTTACTCCGTGCAAATCCTAGCTCAGATTATGAATTAATGATGATCTCTTAGAAGTAGGCATAACGAGGCTCTATTTTGTGTGTGGAAATAAATACGCCATGCCCCTCGGGAGGGTGACGAGTTCAGCACAGTCTGCTTACAATTAACAATGAGGGGACATCGTATTTGGCATTTTGTGGCTTTACTGCTCAATGCCTACACTCTTGTCCATACACACTTTTTTAAATATTTTATGTTCTTCTATGGTGGAAATGGCATATATGTTTGCGAGTTATACTTTTCCTTTAATCTTGACCTTAAGAAATGCCAAGTTAATAAATAATTTTATTCTTTTTATAGGGGGGCTTGGAGAGGCTGTGATGTCAGCAGTAGCAGGTGAAACTGGTATTGTTGTTCGGCAACTTGCGGTGAAAGAATTACCTCGCTCTGGTCCTCCAACAGTTTTATTGGACCGTTATGGAATAAGTTCTAAGAGCATTGTTGCAGCAGTGAAAGCAATGTTAAAGAACTGACTCATAAATGGTGGTGAATAATAGTAGTTTTGGTTTTAAATGCTACATTCCAGGATTTGCTATACTTTCATATTACAAAACAGATTGTACACATTACACACACATGCGTGTACATTTATAAATAATTTTTTACATCGGCTTGCCATACATCTGCCTATTTTGTATTGTAAATGGAAATAAAACGGATTGGGGTTTAGGGCATAGATGTTGTTATTTTTAAAATTCCCATTACCTTCTGCTATAACAGGGTCATCATGGTCTGGTGTATAATCTTGTAAGAAGTATTCTAACATTAAAGCCCTAACCAAACTAACTAACCAAAACTAACTAACCAAAAAAGAAGGCAGAATTTCCTTCTCTTCAACTGACCTAACGCAAGAAAAACCTAATATCCATCCTTCAGAAATCAAAAAATACTGTAAAATAAAGTTCTAAGTTTTTTAGACAATTGAAAATATATAATTTAAGTATATTTTATTAACAAAATGTTCTCGAGTTTGGCAATTTAAATATTTATGAAATGACAATGTTTCGGCTACAGATTTTTTTTATACAATCATCCAATGCTAGCCTTGTGAGAAAGGTGAAGAGGGCCAAGAAGTCCTGAGTAAAAATGGAATGTGATTGTAAAAGTAATTGTATACATGTTACAAAACTGTGTTCTAGGCTAGTATTGGAGTGTATCAGAAATCCTTTTGTAGCCCTGATGAAGGCTTAATAAAAGCAGAAAGGTAAGCAGTTTAATTGTTTTTGTAATGACCGAAACTAAAATATTAAGTTATATAAATAAAGGCAAGCCTGTATATTTTAAGGAAATTGAATCTGTCATGAAGTTGTAAATAGATTTTTTTGAGGTCTGTATTGAACTCTTAGAGCAAGCCTTGAATATGTGAATACTATAGGGAAGATGTCATAGGTATTGAACACTAATAAATCAGTAGTGAAGAGGAAGACAGTTGACGTAACTAAATAGCACATATTTCAATTGTGCTAGAAATCAGAAACCTAAACTACTCTATGATGACTTACTAGTTTGAATTCTTTCATTTCTAATTGTATCAATAACTTGGTTTGTTTGCCACTATTTTTCAAGAATTTGAATGTTGACCTTGTCAATGATGAGGTGATGGGTTGTGCAGTTTCAGACAGCATTCCAAGTGATATTTGAGAAGTCAGCATTGACAAACTGAGACATGAACTCTATTGTAACAATTTAGTTGTCAATGGAGCTTTGAAAATTGATCGGGGGGGGGGGAGGAGGTTCCAAATAAAACTCTCCCTGATACACCTTTGGTTGCTTCTGAAATGATTAGATCATTGTTTGCGAAATAGGGTACAATTTGTCAATTACAGATATTTCAATTCCAATAACGTTTCTTCTGAGTTTCTCCAAGGCTCACATTTAGGTTCTTTAGTTTGATGCACTTATCAATGAAATTTGCTCAGTTGTAGGGAAGATTAAATTTCTTTTGTTTGCTGATCTAAAAAATTTGAAAGTGTTGAATTAAAGATCAGCAAGAATTTGTACATGCTCTGCCTCAGGTGTGTATTAAACACGTACCCGCACAAAGGCGACTAATTAAAGACCATAAAATAGGTCGCTAAGGAAAGGATTTCCAAGACCCAATCGATAAGTCAGGTCGGTAGAAGGATTAAGGAGCCTGATGAACGAAACAAAAGCTAAGCACCACGCACATGACAGCACAGCACTTTCCTACTAAGGTGAGGATAAGAAAGAAGCAACAGAAGAGCTAGCAAAACGACACTTGAGACGATGACGATTGAAAACACTCGATCTGTCGACTCTGTGAGAGACACTAGATAGGACGAGCTAGTAAGGACATTCATCACACGAGACTTGGGCAATGAATGGCAGAGTCAACAATTCACTGGCGTGCGACTGGCCAATACCTACCAGACTAAGCAATCCGACCATCCATCACTTACTATCAGAATTAATTCCGTGGGACGGGTCAGTCGGATCGATACCCGAAAGTACTTCAAAGAGTGTGCAGTCCGTTTATCGGCTGCGTGAACGCGGTGGAGGTGTCGTGTGACGGCCTCGACTTCGTGATGCGTCTTAAACTTACAGTTGCTTCGCGCTTCGAGATTTTTTTTAAATTTTATTTTATTATTATCCCCCCCCCCTTCCTTAATAAGCATGGGCACCTCTGCAGTGGCATCATCAATTTGAAGCCTCTGAATAATGAAACTTTCCCCTGTCAGTCGAGAGCTGACACGTCAAGTCGACAACGATTATTTGTATAAGGGCCGGTTTCACCAACAGCCGAGTAAAGTTGAGAGTAGTTACCCGAGAGTAACCATTTACTCCAAGATAGTAACTCTCGAGTAGAATATGAGCGTTTCACCATGCTTCTGGAGGATTATTTTACTCTAGAGTACATACTCTCCGATTTACTCCGCAAATCAGCTGAACACACAATATTTGAGTGATTCAAGAGGCTCTGAGCGAGAAGGACGCTGGGAACCAATGCGGACCAACGCGAACCTTTGATTAATTCCTTATATTCTATATTTAATTTCAGTTTCGGAGTTCTTGGCGTTATAATCTGGTGTGGTGTTATGGTGGTAAACTATTAGCATAGTTTATTTCCTAGTTTCTGTATCTTTATTTCTTAATAAATATTCATTCTTCTTCTCTGGAGACGAGTTACTATTTTGTTAGCAATGCAGAAAAATCAAATTTGCAGTTCGTTTACCGATGGCGGTGCAAATTAATTTTCTATAACTAGGGAACGAAAAATGTTTGGTTTTTTAAATGTTGCTGATCTCGTGTTTTTCTAAATTTTATTATTATTAGTTTTATTTTTTTAACTTTTATTCACCTTTCAACTATTTGTAGTTAAAATGTTGGAAAGGGATTCTGGAACTCAAGAAAACGTGGGCAAATGATCTCCCCCATACAGTTTTTACTAAATAAAATAAATGAATATTTCTTAGTACTTGTAGTTCCTGTAGTTATATTTTTCCTTTTGTTGTCGTATTTGGTTCGTACTACCTTTATTTCGTACCCGCATGGGAGAAAAATAACTTTAGACGTTCTCTAGTTTACAATGTATCTGATGAAGTTAAACAGCTGATTTGGTCAAATATAACCTCATGACGAAATCTCGATCGTCATAATTAAAACCAATCCATTCTCTCTCGCACCCTTTGTCTTCGCACTAGTGGATAATATTCCGAATCATTGCTGGAATCGTCTTCAAATACTATCATTCGTAATCGTCGAACCGTAACAACAATTCGGAGGTTCATACACGTTGAAAACTGAATTTACTCCGTACTTTATCCGACGGATTTTCGCGGTGTAAAGTTACTCACGAATTTACTCTCGTGTAAGCGATTAACACTCGAGTAGTGTTGGTGAAACGCTCCAAGGAGTTACTCTCGAGTAAACATGATTTACTTGAGAGTAAACTCTTTCTTTCTCTTTGTTTGGTGAAACCGGCTCTAAGTAGCGTTACTTAATTTTTAAGGATAAATAGTGTTTCCGGTACCTATTTAATTACAAGTTAGATAAGATTAATTTAATAAGGAAAACTGTGATTTGCTATTATGAATTCCCCCTTTATTTTATACATGAGCAGGTTTACATTACCTTTACTGCTATCAAATTACGAGTATGTGCAGAGCTGCCAGATAAACTGAATATCCCGGAACCAAACTTCATAATTCCTGGTATTAAAATTGAGTAAAGTCAATTGATGTAAATTCTGAAATTATTGATGTTATAACTATTATGTTTTTAACATGTTCGTTAACGTAACTCGATATCGATTCATTTTATATCGATAAATTAAAAGGAAAGTTCTATCCTTTTATACTACAGCAAGTGCCACAAAAGACCATCCTGTCATCCTAATGTTTTTAATAGAATGTTTTCACCAATATAGTCGTTTGTAATATTGGTGTTAAATTTAAATTATTGAATCGCGTAATAAAAGAATCCCAAACTGTTCATCGTCAATTATCATAGACTTACCGCTCTGGTATTTAAACATGCCAAGCTGTCTTCATACTAGTACATGGTACAAGGGAGTTCAAATATGACCGGGACTGATTTTTTTTACGAAATACTTTATTAGCAAAAATGTAATTTGGTACATGTCATTCTTCAAAGTTACTCCCCTCCAGATTTATACATTTTTTCCAACGTTCTGGACATTCTAATGCCCGTTTCATAAAACTTTTGGTTGTCGGCATATCCAGTCCCGAACACTGTGGCATGACTGCGTCATTATCGCTAATCGCATGCCTTGCAAATGTGATTTTAAGCTGTCCAAACAGGTAAAAATCACTTGGGCCAAATCTGGACTGTACGGCGGATGTGGTAGAAGGTCCCACTTCAATTTGCTGATGGGTTGCCATGTTTTTTAACAGTATGAGGCCGTGCATTGTCTTGAAGGATGCTACCCGTTTCCACCTCTCTTCCGTTTGGATCGGATCTTTTTCTTGATTTCTGTTTCCAAAAGTGCTGAATAATAAGCTGTAATTGATGGTGTTAGCTTCTGTAAAGAAAAGTCTACATGAATAACACCCTTCCAGTCCCAAAAAATGTTCCATCACTTTTCCCGCCGAACGGATCTTCCGCGCTCTCTTGGTTTTGGAGAAGAGCGTGTCGCCATTCACGTGATGCCTGCTGGACTCAGGAATAAAATAGTGAAACCCACATCATCAATGGTTTCATCAGTGGTTACAATGGACTCAAAAATGCATCTCCTTCATTTTCAAACCGCATTAGAAGAACACTGGCAGCTTGCATGCGCATCAATTTGTCTCATCCGTCAAAGTGGGGAACCCCCTAGCATTCACTTTTCTATATTTTAGCGTTTTTTTTATGTCTTCTACACTACCCAACTGATGCCAATTACTGATGCAACTTCTTTGAATAGTGATGCGCCTGTTCTCAAAAATAACCGATTAACAGATCAATGTTTGTTGGGGTTATGGATATTCGCGGCCGACGATCTGAGGTTCATTCTCAACGCGCTCTCGTCCTCTCTGAAACACTTACACCATTCAAACACAGGGGTCCGTGAGAGGCATCTTCCCTGTACTGTTTTTTTGAGTCTTCTGCAAATTTCCGACGGTTGAACGTTTTCTCCAACGAGAAATTTGATGATAATGCGTTGTTCCAAGCACCGTGGCACCTTGTTACTCATCGTTCTAGCAAGACCCAGACTCGACTGAACAGGCTTCTAACCTGCAAAGGAGGGAGGTGGGGGGTTGTGGCTAGATTCTCTCCAGACGGCGCAGTTAATGCGCATGGCGGAGTATTTGAAAAAAAAATCAGTCCCGGTCATATTTGAACCCCCTTGTATCTTCATTAATGTCATAAAAGTACCAAGCTCGTGGTACGTCTGGCAACGGTGCTTGGTGCACATCAGCCATCTCGGATTAGCAAAGGCGCGTTTACATGGATAGAGTTTTCTCTCCTAACTTTCCGGAACTGGTTACGAGACACGTTCAGGCAATGCACGTAAATGAAAACTTATTTATTGAGAGCTATGTTCTTTGGTGGGTTGTTTATATTGTTTCTAAAATGTGGAAAATCTGCAAATGTTTTCACGTGAAACATGTGAGAATGACATAAAAATGTTTAGACGTGTGAATTGCGAAGTACGAAAATGGGCGGAACTTGTTACCTACCTAATGTTGACTAAAATCTAACTTTTCTTGCTTCAAAGCAGAAAACTACTTTTGTCCTCGTTGTTCCGAGAGTGCTATAATTTAACATTCCTAATTTTTGGGAACAGTTCAGCATCTAAAAAAAAAAGCAACTATCTGTCTCTCCTGGCTCCCTTTGTCCACTCTTGGACACTACTTGGTTATCGTGAAAATACAACTATTTTAGAGAAAAAAAGAACATCTCATTGCAAGAAAATGAATCAAAACAAAACAGAAAAGTGTTTAAACCATTACAGGCAGGGGAAAACCTCCAACGAAAAACGATCACGTTTTAAAAGAAAACCGACGTATTTTATCCATTTAGCTCGCGGCGTCTGCGGGCGTCTGGCAAGTCTGCCGCTTGCCACCCAGAGGGGACGGTGTTGCCTTCCGAATTATTAAAAGTCTAGTGTTTTGGACATCTCTCTATAGAAAGATTTGAACCAGTGCCCTTTGCGTCTTGTGTTCAACCGTAATAACAAACGTTAAATATTAAGTGAATGTTTTATTTCTTATTCTAGTGTCAGTTCTGAAGATGAAAACACTATCAATCTGTGAACTTAAGTTAATTATTACGATCAATAAATGGGTAGAAAATTGTACTGAGACACGATCTAGCGACAATGCCAGGAATTAACAAAAAGTTCTCTTAAAAATCGGTAGTATCCGTTAAGGCAGGAGAGAGTACAAGTGTGATGTGCATCTATAAAATAAATTGAGTTGTGTACTCTATTACGGAGTAACATATACCAGAAATCTAAGGATACAACAGATAATTTTACATTAAGGGAGCATTCACCCCTGAGGAATTACAGATCTTTTATTAATGCAAACTACTATGGCGCGTCTGAGGATAATAACGAGGTACAATCTCTAACGGCGGCAGTGATGCCAAAGCTGATGTGGCGCTTTTTTGCTCTACTGTATGAATCGAAAGTTACGCGTTCAATGGTGACGAATCCCGCAGGGTGAAGCGCTAGAGTAGTTTGTCTCGAACCTTTCCAATTTTATGAAAGCGTATTTTCTTCCCTTTCCTGAAATCCAAAACTATTCCTACGAGACTCCGAAACGTTCCTGTCAAGCTTCTCACGTCCTTCGTGCTTCAAAATGTCATAAATGAGGAAATATTAATTTTAAAGAGCACCACTATTTCAATACAATATCCAAAATTCAAGCCAACTACATACAGTTCCAAAAGGCCAATGCCCTAGTTTCCTTTTTAACAGTAGGGAAATAAGTTTTGATAACCGAAAAAATGTTTAATATTACTTTGATGACAAAGTAAGTTGGGCCTACTGGAAGAATCGGATTTATAAAAAACGTCACGGGAAACCAGGCTGCCTCGCGCCAGGAGAGCGTCATCTTCCGGTTGGCATTGACTACGAGTCCCGTTTGAAAATATAATTATAATTAAATAGTTATAAACATCAATAGCCATTTGTTTTCCCCCCTATAGAGCACTTTACCTCTCATGCGCTTTGCGTTTCGTGGATAGTACAGTCTAAATTAAGTTTGCAGTTTTTTGAAATTTAATTTTTCTTTGCAAACTAATAAAATTACAACATAAAAACTAAAATGAAGACAATTAAATGGAATTTCTTTTTAACTTTGACGTGATTGAAACCATCAATCTCAAAACCAAAACTGAACACAGGCGAACAAACACAAATAAACAACCGGAACGTTAACTTTCTGAACACAGTATGATACGGCAACCGAAGCACATGGCAATCCAACAGCCGAACGTATCTACAAAAATTAATAACCTACAAAAAATAATAAATTCTGAAAATATTCACTACAGTTTGTGGTAAATATATGATGTATTCGAGATATTATTTTTTAAAGTAATTGTTATGAAAAATTACGTTAATAAGGATTTAAAAGATTTAAAATTTTAAAAAATGGGGTGGATGTTTACTTACCGGAAGAGCCCACAAGGTCCTGTACTTCATAACCTCGGACGCGCTTTAGGCTGGTAAAATTTTCGAAATATTCATTTCACCATCACCAACAACAAAGATCGTCAACTGGTGTAATATGTGTCCAAAATAATGCTTGTTACAAAGCAGGAGTGTGAATACCCTATTTTGGAATACCAGTTTCTTTTTACGAATTCTATTACGCACAAAATCTCAATGCTACCACAAAAACTCGAGTCCACGTCATCAAAGCCATGTGTAATGGAAGCGCGCACAACTGACATGGACTTCATTTCAAAAAAATTAAGTTATGTTTAATAAAAGACGAAAACAATTTTTTATTATGAGTTAATATGAGTTGCTTACATGTTATTATAGATTAGTGTTCTGAATGTGTCCCTTCATTCGATGTAGCTGCACCCCCATTTTGAAGGACGAGAGGGCCCCAGCTGCCACTGAATACATTTGTGGTATTTTTTATAACAGGAAATAATAAACAAATAGTTAAGCATTACATTTTTTATTATTACATTCACTTTTCACATGCTTATATAAAATCTGTCAGACATATTTTTAGTGTTTTAATGTGAACTGTTGTAAAGTCATTAGAACAGTCTGCATTTTGTATTGCATCATTCGCATTGAAGTTATTCAACTTTTGTTTATAAAATCACTAGTAATGACAAGATCAATTAGAAATGAGACCATTCTCATATTTATTAAAGAATGGTTTCATATTTACTCCTCACAATGTCACTATTCATAAAAAAGACTGTTCTGCAAGATACCTGATATGAAGTATTTTTATGTATACAAATTCAAGATCGAAACTTAATTTAGTTTAATAAGCAAATTGCCTCATCCATAAAATAAAATACTGCAATAAAAATACTTATCGTAATTTGAAATATTTCATTAAAAAAAAAATTTTTAAAAAAATGGAGGAATGGAAACCGTATAAACTTTGTGTGATAAGATTATTTTCTACAATAATAAGCAAGAACAATATAATTTATACAATAGTTTTGTTAATATACTGTTGTATTGAATTCTAGTAATAAAAACAACTGCATGATGTAATTATGCATCGGCAAAGTTGATTTCACAAGTAAAGCATAACATTTACTTATGTTACGCAAAGAGGCCAAGGCGATGAACTTTAGCCGATAAAAAGTTGTGCAAAATAAAAACAAATGGCTTGGGGCAGCATTCGAGGTCCAATTCCTGAAAAAGTAAAAAAGAAAGGATAAAGTAAATATATGGCTCGTGAATTTGCATGACAACATAAGTCAAATGATGTGGTTTTAGAGAAAATTATAAAACAAACTTTATTGCATCTTTAAGTCATATTTTGCGATTTTGCCGTTTTATATTATAGAGAGTGAAATGTCTGTAACATTAATTCACACAGTTGGTAAGAGTTTCCAGGTTCTAAAATCTTAAATAGGACTAAAGTTGTTTAGAAAATGAATTTCCACCATGTATCCAATAAAATTAAAACATTAATAAGCACATTAAGTCATTCAATTCAAGACAAAATTATGAAGAAAACATTACACAATTTGTGGAAGAGCATTAGTGCAACTGTGCATTACTACAACAGCTTGTGCAAAAAGAGCACAAAAACATCTTACAAGCAATTAAGAATTATATTTTAATTGGCTCTTTGTCTTCCAAAGTTGCCCATGTATAATGCTTGAAAAAATGTCATCAGGGCTGTACATCGACAATGAAAATATCCTGAAGTTTGCCCTCATTTATAGGGCATACACCATTGGGATCTCTCTTGGTACTAATATTTGGGAGAGGTAGATAGGTTGGTCCAAAAATGTAGTAAAAGTTGAATCCTTAATGCATAGTTTTGCAAAACAATTACAAAAACTGCATTTCATAAATGCTGATACTATGAAGGCTGTCCTTAGGCCTTTTAAAATGTTCTTAGAAGACTTTTCTAAAGAACTGAAAACAGTGGCGGCTCGTGTTTAGGTTGCATGGTTGCACAACCTCCAGATAAAAATATTTTGTAATATGTTAGGAATGGTTTTAATGGCATTCAATATTAACGATTTCGCAGCAATATAGATGAAATCACTTTGAAACCAAAAGGCGCCCAACCGTCGCTCTCAGGCGTCTGGTGCCCTCCCAGGTATTGCACCACCTCTTGGCTCTATTACTGCATTTATTGGCTCTACGTTTGAGCATAGGATATTCAGTCACGCAGCCATTAGGAGGGGGGAGGGTCTTGTCGCCGATCACTGCGCGGCGTCCTGAGGGGAATCACAATTTTCTGTCTTCGTCTGACACTAGCTGAAACTTATTTTTATGAATTTCGCGTGTTATTGAAAGTACAGAAGTTCAGTCAATCACTGACTGTATTCAATGCATTGTGTATGTATAAAGAATTTGATTTCATTTGACATTAGATTTGTTGATTCAAAATGTACCCTTTATTATTTGTCTGAAGTTGGCCGTTCTGGATGGAAGTTTGTCTCACGATGGGTGCATATTTCCGTCAGCAGTTGGTCTAAGACCGCTGGTGTGAATAAGAGTGTGTGTGTTGGCCTGGAGGATGAGGTAACGATGGTCTGAGTTCGTTCGATGTCCTGTGACTTGGGTGAAGAACTGCTTGGCGCAAAGGCGTATTTATGGCTGATACTTTCGAACCGTAGGAGCCGATCATATCTCGTCTTCGGCTCAGATATGGTTCACCAGCCTCGGCCAAGAGGCATTCAATGCGTAGGCACCTGTGATCAGTATACCGGCATCGTGTATGGTATTCAATGAACATAGGGTCGATGGAGACGCTGACCCATACACAATACACCCATAATCCCAAACAGGAAGGATGATAGTCGTATAGAGGCGCAAAATACATAATGTCTGCGCCCCAAGTAGGCCTCCAGTAAGAGAGCGAAGAAAGTTCAATGGAGGTACACAGCGTCTCTTCAAGTTTTGAATGTGCTTTTGCCATGTTAAACTTATGTCGAATGCCATGCCAAGGAAAGTGGCAGATTCGACGAAGGGAAGTTGATGACTGTCCTCAAAAAAGATCAGGATGATTATGGAGGTGATATATTTCATAGAAGTGCTTGCAACTGCATTTTGAGGTGGAGAACTTGAATCCAGTTTTATCGCTCCATTCTTGCAATTTGTTGAGGACATGCTGTAACTGCCTCTCAATAATTTGGATGCTCTTCGAGGAGCAGAATAACCTAAGTCGTCAACGAAGAGCGATACTTTCACAGGGTCTCAAATTACTGATGTGATACTATTGATTGCAACAGCAGAGTGACATTCATAATTCATTCCTGGGACACGCCGTTTTCTCACTGGTGACTGGAGGATAAAGTGTCACAAAGGCGGACGCAGAAAGATCTTGACGCACGAAAATCTACTAGAAGCGAAGGGAGCCGTCCCCTAAGGCCCCAAGAATGCAAGGTGCGAAGAATCCGTACCTCCAGGTGGTGTCATGTCATCTTTCCCTATGTCGAACAAAATTGCTACCAGGTGTTGTCGTGGCACGAAAGAAGTGGAGATGTGAGTGGCAAGGGAGACTAAGAGATCCATGGTTGACCTGTGGTTCCTGAAACCACATTGAAAATATACCACGGTGAAAATAGATTCCTTTCCTCCAGGAGCTAGACCAGACGTTTGTTAGCTATTCGTTTTAAAAGATTGCACGCACAGCATGTGAGCGATATTGGCGGGAACTTCAAGGGATTGTTCGGTCCTTTCCTTCTTTAAAGATTGGAATAACAATGGCTTCACGCAAAATCCTTGGTAAGGAATGTGTATCCTTAATCAAGTTGAAAATGCGGAGGAGAAAAGAACGAGGATATTCCGGTAGGTGTTTAAGCATTTGATTATGTATCTGTTCTGTTTCTAAGCGGAATTTTTTGCACGCGAGGGCATAAGAAAAGTCATCCATGGAGAAATGAGCATTGTAGCCTTTCTCCACGCGAGCGAGAAATCTAGTCTGCAGTTCACCATTCTTTTGGTTTATAGAAATCTAGGAGAGTAGTGTACGGAGCAGGAGATATGCTAGTAGAGAGGGGCCAGTTATTCAACTATATCTTCTGGTGAGGTGATACTATTTCCATTTACCAGATGCTCTGAGACAAACGACGGAGGAAGTCTTCCACCGATCTGTAGAAATTTCCGCCACACATACTTTAGGGGGCGTACGGCAAGGGAATGATGCAATATTGGCTCTCCAGGTCGCAGCCTTACTTTCCTGTATGGCCAATCTAGCTCTAGGTAGTAATATTTCTTAATTGATCAGATTAGCCATTGTTGGAAACTTACTAAGCTTTGCCGAAGCCATTTCCGATCCTGCACCGCGGTGGTACAGTCGGCATTCCACAATGGCATGAGAGGGTGTCGTGGATGACCTGATGACTTCGGGATGCCAATTGAGGCCGCATGGAGAACGGCATCAGTAAAATGGGCAACCATAGCATCAATATTTTTGGGCAGGTTTCCGATACCGTATTTCTTTCTCGAATGTTTCCCAGTCAGCTAGGTGGATTAAACTTGCGAGGGGGACGAGCAACATTTGGGTCGGGAATATCGAAATTGACCAGAATGGGGAAGTGGTCACTGCCATGCAGGTCGCAAAGGACAGTTCACTCAATGATGGTCGAGAGAGATAGACTACAGAGAACTAAACGGATGAGGTGTTTGAAGCAATAGAGCAATGCGTGCTTTCGCCAGTATTGAGAATTAAGTTCAGGCTGTCAATAATATTTTCAAACATATTGCCTCTCGAGCAGGTCCTAGTGCTACCCCAGGCGGGATTGTAGGCATTAAAGACCCCCACAATAAGACAATGGGCGGGCAACTAAGATAACATATTTTCAAGCTCCTCTTGCGACACGACTTTGCTAGGCGGAATATAGACGTTGCAAATAGTTATCGATATAGTGCGGTAGTTCGCAGGAACGCAAAATGTCTGAAACGTGGCATATACGTCTTATTATTTGGGCACCAGGGAGTCCGTGACAAATGTAGCGACTCCGCCATGGGCCAGAAGACATCAATGTCTTGCCTATAGCAGCAAAAGCCACGAAGAGAGAGTGAATGCTCAGGAAGATGTGTCTCCTGCAGGCAGATGACAACGGGTCTATGAATAGACAATATCAGCTTTTATTTATCTAAACCGGCGCCAAAACCATTCGGGTTCCACAAGAGGAGAGCCATACCTTTTATATGTTAGATTTCTTACTTCTAAAGGGTTCGAGTTGGCCGAATGGTCTCCTTCGCAGTTAACACAGCGAAGTGGGGGGAGGTCACAGTGATCCGTATTGTGCGTGGATTTGCCGCACTTTGCGCACACAGGGCTTGCGGCCATGCACCGCTGTTGGGTATGACTGAACCTCTGACACTTGAAGCAACGCAGGGGCGATGGCACATATGCCGCACGTGGGCAGTATAAAACCCACAACTAATCCTCTCTGGGAGAGAGGAAATTAAACGTTAGGATTAGAGTGGGAGTAGGGCTCTCTCTCTCTCTCCCATTTTCCTTCCTCTTGATCCGAAACACCTCCGTTACGCCCTCCTCACTTTTAGACGCAAAGGCATCGTGATTCACCACTGCCTTAGATAGGCTAAGAGTAGGGAGGGTGATCACTTTCAGGCGCCGACAATCTGCGTAGAATTTTTTTTCCATTTGCTCATTGGTGCGTGTTTCGAAGAGAATGGTACTATTCCTCTGACGCACCACCGCTTGGAGTTTACCAAATCTGTCCTCAATGGCTCGCGCGAGAGGAACCGCACTAATACGTTTGAATGTTTTCCCTTCTTCCGAGCACCTCATCAAAAGGAAACGTGGCTTCTTTGATTTATCTTCTTTCCTAAGGAAGAAACTAGTTAAATCCATCTTTCTCTCAAAACATCGTCTCTTCCTCCGGAAGAGGTTAAGGGGTTTGTTTTATGCTCCACTGAATTGAAGCGGATTCGTCTCCGTACTCCCCACCCACCACGAAGTCCAAGGGGGCTCCCCATTGGGGTGCCAGGGTTCACACGAAGATATAATGGATAAATAAGATAAGATTAAGATAATAATATAAAGATATGTCACAGCGCTGTCCCGCCGTGGATACCCCCGCTCACTCTGGAGTTTAGTACAAGTCCTAATACGAGCCGATTGATCGGGAGTGGGTTAGCTCCCGAATCAACAGTCAACTGCTAGGACACACCTTTCCTCCGACACAAGTCGCCCTGAA